TATGGTCAATTTCTGGTAGAGTTGCGCTAGAGGACTTAGTGATTCCTAGAGAGGACATGTAAATCAAAACCGCAAATAATCAAATCTGCAAAAGTCAATGCCACAAATGTGGAGGGCCAACTATATAGTCATCCCTCCATATCCACAGATTCTGCATCCACGGATTCAACCATCCACAATCCTAAAAGCAAATCTTGATTTTTGCCATTTTATATAAGGGACACTATTTTACTATGCTATTGTACATAGTGGGACTTGAGTATCCATGGATTTTGGTACCCAGTGTGTGTGTCCTGAAACCAAACCCCAACGAATACCAAGGACCCACGGTATCTTGATGACAATGTGGCGATCAGCAGGAGCCAGCATTCACTTGTCAAGAATAAATTCCACCCAACTAATCTGATATCTTTTTTTCATTGCACCACTAATTTAGTAGATGGTGGGAATGCAGTAGATGTCATTTATCTGGATTTCAGCAAAGCATTGGATAAACACACCCATGATATTTTGATGAGCAAACTGTTTAAATGTGGAATAGATGGATCTGTACTTGGTTGGAAAATGGTGCTGAAAGGGTCATCATCCATGGCTGCGCTTCAGACTGAAGTATCAAGCAAAGTACCACAGAGTTCTGTCCTGGGGTCAAAACTCTTCAATATTTTTATCAAGGACTTTTAGGATGCATCTGCTGTGAAGAAATCATGCAGTTTGATACTGCTATAGCTCCAGCCTATGGAGTCCTGGGATTTGTTGTTTTTACAAGGTCTTTAGCCTTCTCTGCCAAAGAGTGCTGGTGCCTCACCAAACTACAAATCCCAGGATTCTGTCAGATGGAATCATACCTGTCAAAGTGGTGTCAGACTGCATTATTTCTACAGTATAGTTGCACTCTAAGGTGATGAGGAGGAGGGAATTCTTCTCAACTTTGTGGATGATACAAAACTGGGAGGAGTGGCTAACACATTGGGGAAGACAGAAACAGAATCCCAAAGGGCCTTGTTAAACTGGAAAAGATGGCTTAAACTGGCAGAATGAAATTCAACAGGGACAAAGGTAAAATTCTACATTTGGGCCATGCAAACCAAAAGCACAGGGATAGCGCAGAAAACCTTGGGATTATTGTTGATTGTAATCTGAGTATGAGCCAGGAGTGTGACGCTGCAGCAAAGAAGGCAAATAATATTTTAGCCTGCATTAATAGAAACATAAAAGTTTCCAAGTTAAGGGAAGTCATTGTTGCCCTATATTCTGATCAGGCCTCATCTGGAGTCCTGTGTTCAGTTCAGCGCACCTCATTTTAAGAAGGATAGAGACAAGTTGGAGCAGGTTCAGAGATGGGGGACAAGGATGATAAGAAGGACGGAGAATAAAAAATATAAGGAAAGGTGGAAAGAGTTGGGAATGCTCTAGCTGGAGTTCCTGCATTAAGAGGCTCTTCCAACTCTATATGATGATTGTAGGATTCAGCTGTAGTCACTGGCTAACAGCTAGCAGTCTGGTTATCTTCCAGTACTTTTCTCAAAGCCTTTGGGCCACAATAACTTCTGTCCATTGCATCCTGTGGAAGTGAGTTCCGTCAGTTAACACTGTGCTGTATGCAAACCAGGACTTCCTTTTCTCGGTTCTGAACTGGCTGCCAGAGAGATTCCACCTCAACATTAAGAAGAACTTGCCGAGAGTAAGAGCTTGGAAGCTGCTGCCTCGGACCTCCAGACCTTATCACATGGGGGAAATCCCGTGCAGAAAAGGGATTTAAAAGGTGGGGAAAACTCGTAAAAGTGGGTAGATTTTCATACACATCGCTTTTAAACTGTGCTTAACCCAAACAGAAAGTAGTCAAAAGCCGCTTCTTTTTATTTTCGGAATCTTGAAAGTAAAAAGAAACAGCTTTTGACTACTTTCCGTTCAGGTTAAGCACAGTTTAAAAGTGACATCGTCTGAAAATCTACTGCTTTTGCGGGTTTTTTTCCTATTTAAAACCGCTTTCTGCACAGGATTTCCCCTGTGTGATAAAATGGTCTTCTTTGGAGGTTTTCAAAGAGAGGTTGGATGGCCATCTGTCACAGAGAGGGTTTGGATTGTATATTCCTGCATGGCAGAAGGGGGTTGAACTGGATGGTCCTTGGGGGTCCCTTCCAACTCTATGCTTCTATTATCTTCCGCTGGGTGACTTCCAAGTTCCACAGTGGTGACAGGAAAATACCCCTCTCTCCCTTCTTTCTTGCAGCATTTCCTAGTTGAATGCCTCTGCATTATTCCTTTTCTGATGTCTTATTCACATGGCTCTCCTCTGGCCCATTGTTATCTTACAACAACCCTATGAGATAGGTGAGACTGAGGTCTCATCTGCCCTGCAGAATGAATGCAATTTGGCATTAATAATAAAATTTATTTTTATCCCATCCCTCTGCAGCGCAATCGGGGCGGCTTACACATTAAAAAACATCCATAATACAACAATTCCCTAACCCACCCACCCACCCGTTAAAAAATAGTATTAAACTAGTCAATTTTAAAACACAACACTAACACCAAGTCATACAAATGGCAGCTCCGGGGGCTGGTGGCTGAATCCTAGGGTCAGGAAAGCTAATCAAGGAAGGCCTGCTGGAAGAGATCCATCTTGACAGCTTTTCTGAATTCTATAGAATTCTGGAATTTGTTGGTTTGTGACTGTCAAAGCACTATGGTGCGGCGACAAACTATAGATCCCAGAATTCCATAACATATAGTCATAGCACTTAAAGTAGTTGAATACATTAATGCTGCAATGCAGATTAGATCTGAGAGGGAATAATGAAGAGGAAATTAATTGGGCATGGTGGTTTCTCATGGTTCTGTGCAGATGGGACCTGAAGCCAGAACTCATGCCCCTATCTGGGGCTCTAACCGCTGTTGAATAACAATGGACAAGTACAACGTAAAAAGTAGAAATTATTTCATTATAAGTTCATAGAAACAGTTCTTAATTTTCGGTACTGCAATTAAACAACTTTGCTGGCATTCACCAAAAGTCCTTATTTTTTATCCTGTTGGCAAAAATGCTGAAACACAGATCAACTGCAGCTGTGTGTAAATCTATGGCTGCATCCACACTGCAGAAATAATCTGGGTTAACAACACCTTAACTGCCATGGCTCCATGCAATGGAATTCTGGGAATTGTAGTTTTGTGAGATATTTTGCCTGCTCTGTCACAGAGCTCTGGTGCTGCAACAAACTACAAGTCTCAGGTTTCCATAGCACTGAGCCATGTCACTTTAAGTGATATCAAATTGTATTATTTCTGCAGTGCAGATGCAGCTATAGCCGTAATTCATATTTATTGATTAGAAGGGCTTGTAGTAGACCATAGAGTCAAAAGTTATAGCTGAAGTCATGAACCACAGTGTCATAGATCATAGGACAGACGACCCTGGGAATTTATAGTTTTGCTTTCATCTTTATGACTTCCTTAGCCACCTTGAAATGAAAATAATAAGCCTAATGCTAAGACTGGACAACAGGGCTCAAATCCCTGCTCAGCCATGAAACCAAAATCCAATTGGTGGCCTTGGGCAAGTCACACTCTCTCAGCCCCAGAGGATGGCAGTAGGTTCACCTTAGAAAATGACTTGAAGGCTCACAAAGACAACAACAATGTTGTGAAAAGGCATTTTTGCCATAACGAACATGAATAATACATGAATAATTCTGAAGGTTATATACTTACAATATTATGATTAAATACAGATAGGATGCCTGCACCAATGTAGCAGAATGGCATAACAAATCTTCAACAAGGAACTGTTTATGTTTACATACTACTAAATTGTTATTGATTGTAAAATTGATGGTAAACACCTGTCATAGCTGGGGAAAAGGCAATAGGAAAGGACTGTTTGTAGGAAAAGTGTGATAAAGCTTTCACCTTCTTAAAGAAAACAACCGTAATCCTGTTTTTCATTCAACCCCGATGGGGGTTTAATGGTATGATGCTTATGAATCCAGAAGCATTCCCGTTTTGTTGACAAACATCCTGATATGGTTTAGATTCTAAATCACTAAAGATTTAAATCAATCATATCTGGGATCAGCCTCATAAAAGAATCGCTTGCACCATGTTCGGTCGACTTCAATGTTCAATAATTCTGGATTTCAAATTTCTAAAACACTTCCCCACATATAAGTTTTGAACATTGGACTCTGGAAACCAGGATCCCAGCTCAGTCATGGAAACCTACTGGTGACCTTGGGGAAGTCACACTCTCTCAGCCTCAGAGAAAGGCAATGGCAAATCCCTCTTGATCAAATCTTGCCAAGAAAATCCCAGAAATAGTCTGGTTTAACACCAGTTTAACTGACATGGCTCCATGCTATGAGATCCTGGGAATCCTGGAGTTTTCTTGGTAAGTTTTTTTCCAGAGAGGGCTTGCCATTGCATTCCCCACTGAAGGCACAAAACAACAACAACAACAACAACAACAAAAGGGACAAATTAATACATTTATGGCATTAGTAGTTCAGCAGCTTGAAAATGATCTCAATTTCAGTTCCTCACCCAATTGTGAGTCGATGAAGCTGTGTATTTTTAAAGGATAAACCAAAATGTGAACAATGTCCACAGGGAGAATGTGCCAGCAGATCGGAAGATTTAGGAGAACTTGGATTAAAAATGTCAGAATGACCCAATCTGTCTTTCAAATTGTGTATGTGATAGTAAGATATTGTGTGTGTGTGTGGAGGGGGGAATCTCACAATCCTCAATGCCTGAACCAAATGCCACTGTTTTTGCACTCTCTTCTTCATGTGATAATAAGCCAAAGGGGGGGGGGGGGAAGGTTAGAGTTTCATGTTGTTGTGGTTCCATGCATTCAAGTTATTTTCAATTTATGAGGACCCTAAGGCGAAGGCTATCATGGGGTTTTCTTGGCAAGATCTGTTCAGAGGAGGTTTGTTATTCCCTTCCCCTCAGGCTGAGAGAGTATGACTTGCCCAGGGTCACCCAGTGGGCTTCATGGCTAAGCTGGGATTCAAACCCTGCTCTCCAGAGTCACAGCCCAATGCTCAAACCACTATGCCACACTAGCTCCAAGTAGTTATTCCTAAATGAAGAGGAGTGCTGTGTTTGTGTCTTCCTGCATGGCAAGGGGCTGGATTGGATAACCCTTGTGGCCCCTTCTAGCTTTAAGATCCTAGGATTCTAGGACCATTTTTGCATCTCTGTGGGCTCACCCCACTGCAAAGGTGCATCTGTCTACCTCCCTGCTGGGTTTTCCAGAGGTTCCTGGTCAGCAACATTCCAGTGTTGGGCATTCTGCCCCGTCAGCGCTGCCCTCTTTGTCTGCCCTTGGAGAGAATTTCCCTTCTGTCAGCTGCCCAAGGCCTTTGGGTCTTTTGTCATGGGCAAAGGCTAGAAAAGCCCTGAATAGCCCAGCTGACCAAGCCAAACACTGGAGGAGAATTGAGGGGTTACAACAGGAGTCCTGGATGACCTGGATCTCCTTCAACTTCCCATCCTAAAGTGAATTTTGCAGTGGGAGAAGGAAGAACTCGTCATGGGAGAAGGAAGAACTTGTCATGGTGCTCATATAGTCTCCTGAATGGGACAATCCCAGTTAACCCTCTCCTGTTCCACTTCTCCTTCTTTGTTTTCAGCTTAGGGGTGTAATCTTCAGGAAAAACTTTCTGAGTCATTCAATAGTGGAAGACGATGCCTCAGAGGATGGTGGAGTCTCCTTCTTTGGAGGTTTATAAACAGAGGCTGGGTGGCCATCTCTTGGGAGTGCTTTGATGATGCGTTCCTGCATGGCATGGGGTTGAACTGGATGGCCCTTGGGGTCTCTTCTAACTCTAGGATTCTATGATCCGACCCTTCCCTGTTGGCTCAGACATAAATAAACTGCTGCATCCTCAGCACTAGCTTGTTTATTATTCCGCATTAGTATCTTTTGCCCTCTTGACCACACTCTGATGTTGCTTGGCTGCATGTGCCCCATCTGTCAGATGTGGGAGGGTATCGGTTCCAACTGGCCACCTGCTCATGGAGAACCAGTGGGCACTTCTGTTCATGGAAGACAAAGATGTAGGTCCCATGGTCCTGCAGTTTCGGCCTCCCGTGGGAGTTCTTCTGCCACTCTCTGTGTGATACACAGGTCTGTGGCCACCTTCTCATCAGCCTCTGTGGATACCCAGGTTGCATCTCTCCATGTTATTGGTGGTTTTGATCACTCCCTTTGCAAAGAGGGCCTATCCTTCCAACAACAGAAGCTTTTTTGTTTCTTAAAAGAACTCCTGTATTGGCTCATCTCTTCTCCAGGCACTGCAGTCCCAGTTTCGAGTGCTCTCTCTTGGAGAAAGATTTTGAAAGGGGTCTTCACACAATGGTTTCATACGAGTTGCTAACATTGAAGCCTGCCCACATGTAGTGTCCTGCTCCCAAGAGCTCTGAAAGTCTTTCCCAAATATGGCACTGCATCCCTAGAGGTGCTGGACCACAACTCCCATTCTGGCCAACTGATGTGCTGGCTGGGGTGATGGGGCTGTAGTCTAAATCTTTAATGGGGCAAGATGTAGGTTATCGCACATCAGATGGCCTTTTGCTAAGGAGCCACAGAAAATGGGCAAAACAGCTACTGAGCAACAGCAATAACAGGGGATGATACTGGTGGAGGATCTCTCAGGACAACATAGATACCTCTAAGGCAGAGATTCCCAAACTTTGGTTCCCCAAGTATTTTGGACTTCAGCTCCCAGAAGCTCTAATCACCATAGCTAATGTTCAGGAATCCTGGGAGCTGAAGTCCCAAATATCTGGAGGATCCAAGTTTAGGAATGATTGTCTGTGTAAAAATATTTGTACACTACAGAAGAAGGCAATGGGAAACCAGTCCTGAAAACCGTGAAAACCCTATGATGAGCCAACCCAAAGTGAAACATGAGATAGTGCCAGACGATGAGACTCCCAAGTTGGAAACCAATTATTGGAGAACAGCAAAGAATGCAGCATGAAATACTGTGTTTGTGACACAACTCAAGTCAATCTGAAAGGAAGGTCAGCTGCTGACATGCACAGAGGTGAAAGAAAAGTCCAAAGCTGCACAACGTATGTGGAACGTTGAATGCGGAAAGTCAGAAGCATTAGTAAGGGAATGGTGGTAACTGGAAAACAAGAAATGGGACACTGAGGTAGCCCCAGTCCTACACTCCAAAGCACTATGCCATGCTAGCAATAGATAAATAGATAGATATACAGATAGAGAGACCAAGCCCTAAAATGCCTTCCAAAGAGAAACAGCAAGGTTATGTTTTTACCCAATGCTGCCATCTAGAGTCTTTGGAGAACCTCCTTTCTGTGTTTCTGCCAGGAAGCCTGCTTTTTGGCTGTACATCTGCATATCTCTTTCTGGCTGTACATCTGTATCTTTCTCCAGTATTCCCTGTTGAACAGAAGTCCTGCATTAGGAATGTCAAAATTCTTTCCCGCCCCTAACTACTACTCCTTTGACTCCATACACGGCATTGCCTTGTGTGTGTCTGCACTGCCACGGTTTCCATTTTGGTCTGTTTGCCTGTCTTTCTTCCTTCCCTCTACATTTTGCACATGGATATTTGCAAAATCCTGTCGGAAGAGTAGGAAGAAAACCTACAATCCCAAGACAATTTTTTTTAACCATTAGTTTTATACTTTATATGGTATTTTACCGATGGACAGGGAGATCTGTGGGGGAGCATGTCCTCATTGCCAGAGTTTGAAAAGTTTCTTGGTTTTCTACACATTTGTCAAATTTGAAAGTCCATTCCTTTAGGAGGTTGTGGGGATGCTACACACACACACACACACAAGCTCTGCTTGTCATTCCCATATATCACTGAATGTAATGCCATAGTTGGGACAGAAACCAATTAAAATTAGACCTTTAAATTACCATACTATATGTACAGCCTAGACTTATTTGCATTTCATGTGGCTAAAGCAAAACTTTTGCAAGATGTGATGCTTTCAAAGAAAGTTGAAAAAGGAGTAAAATTAGACCTCTCCTTTCTCCAGCAACTAAGCCTTAACCCCACTGATACGTTCTTCTTCACTGAGCTCCAGAGTTTTAAAGGGCGAATGCCACAGGCCATTTCTGTCAAAAGGCAGACATTTGGGGAGCAGTAGGGTGTCACCCCGTACAGTCTGCAACCCTGAAATCGGTTAGTGATGCCTCTGTCCACTATCACTCTTGTCTTTTAGGATGTGTTTAAAATATAGTTACAAATTGTCAGGGAATAGGCAAGTGTTTGATTTCCCTTTTGCTGTTTCTTTGTGTTGCTTTTATTGGCCTAAATTCAGTTGCTAATCCCAATCGGAACAGAGCCATGGAATCAGCAGGCTTGACATTAATCTTGATTTGCTATTCAGGATCATGGGCCTTCAAAAAGGACATTCTACAGCAAATCAAGCTTGAACTCTCCCTAGAAGCCAAAATGATTGAATGGAGGCTATCTTGGCTATCATGCTAATTAAGAGACAGTGTGGCCTAGTGGTTTGAGTGTTGGTAGCAAATAACTATGTAAAATTGATTCTGTGGATTTATTCTAATTGGGACTAGCAATTAGATATATATTATTGTATGTTAGCAGATTTTTTATTATTATTATTATTATTATTATTATTATTATTATTATTATTATTTACTTATATCCTACCTTTCTCCCACTGTAGGGACTCAAGGCAGTGATCATTGTAATGTATTATTCAAGCAACTTGCTATTCGGGGCTTTAGAGATTTGCAGTTTGGGGTATTTAAAAGCCACATTGTTATGTTGAAGGTGCCCATAGCTCTTATAATGAAAGAAAGTATATAAATCAAATGAATATCAAAAATGCAAGAATAAATAAAACATCTACCTGCATAAATATCAGACGCAATCAGGCATGGACTCAAACTGTCTGTGTTTTTTTCCTTCCTTAATATACACTGAACTAGACCACCAGTGGAGGATTGCTCCTTCTTTGGAGGTTTTTCAACAGAGACTGGATGGTCATTTCTCAGGGGTGCTTTGATTGTGTGTTCCTGCATGGCAGGGGGTTGAACTGGATGGCCCTTGGGGTCCCTTCCAGTTCTAGGATTCTGTATTTTCCTGCACAGCAGAATGAGGTTGGACTGGGTGATCGTTGGGGTCTCTTCCAGCTCTATGATTCTACATTTGCTTCTCTTAGGAAAAGCATCACCACCTCTTTCAAAGGTAGATGAGGTTGAAAACATAACTTGCGTTTGCTCCTCCAGCCTCATTGCTTTTGACCCACATTTGGACATTCCCAGAGGGGAGAGATGTTGGCTGGTTTTTCTTCCTCGTTCCAGACTGCCATTCACCTGAAGGCTGAAGAAGAGGCTTACTGGGCTGGAAACTGGGTGCAGGACAGGAGGTGGTTGACCTGAACACCTTTGCATCAAACCCCTTCCAGTTTTCTGCTCCTGCAGTTTGATCTCGGTACCTGATCCATGACACTTAATGGTAGTTCAAACATCTGGGTTCAAGAGGGGGGATGTTCTGATACATACACACCAACACCCATGGTAGGTTCTCTGTGCCACCATGGAGTCCAAGACGAAACTGGTTTCATAAAATCTCAGAAGTGGAAGGTAGCCCCATGGCTATCTAAGGGCCTTTGCAGAGTGCCAGAAATAGTGCAAATTGAGTCCACTTTAAGGGTTAGGGTTAGTGCTAGGGAATCATGGGAATTGTTTGTTTTTTTCTGAGACATTGAGCCTTCTCTGTCAGAGAACTCTGGTGCCACAATAAAATACAGTTCCCGTGATTCCCTAACCCTAACCCTAACCCTTAAAGTGGACTCACTTTGCACTATTTCTAGCAGTTTGCAAAGGCCCTTAGTTGAACCCCAACTGAGATGTCACTGCAAAGAAGGCCTTGATTTGTATATTCACCACCTGAACTTCTCAGGGTGATGGGATGTGCCACCATGCTTCCACTGAGGATATCAGTTTCTGGGTAGATTCATATGGGAGGGAACCATCTTTCCACTTGTGGGCCCCAAGTAGCTTCAGGCTTTGGAGGTCTTTGGCTACAAGGTTGACTAGGATAACCAACGTGTGTGACCAAGATGATTAAAGGCTGGAGGATTCTGGGAAGGGCAGTCAACGACAGCACTGTTTCTGAACATTGGTAGGGATCAGTTACCAATATGAATCACTCCTTCCCTGGCTGGCATTTTTAAAAACCTTTTTGCTGTCACGGCTGGTCAGACAGGTTAGGCTAGATGCAGAGGAAAAAAACGTTCAAGAGGCCCTGGGATTGGGACATAAGGTGGCTCTCTGATCCCCTTCTTAAATTAGCTCTGTCCCCAAACCAAGGGTGTGTCAGAATCCCTGGGCATGGTTCTGCCATGATTGGTGTGGTTTATTGGGAAGGATGTATGTATCAAATATGGAAGTGCATTGGATACTGAAATGTTTGCATGAATCATGTATGGGTTGATCCTGTATATGGGAAATGGCAGTGGGGGGAATGGTAAGCAGAGTGAAGGGGTTTATAGTTTTATGGCTCCATCCTTCCTGCAGCAATTCTTGTATGTGGAGGAAGAAAGGACCATTAGTGTTTGCTTTGATCAGGATCAAAGGCCAAGCACCAACAGTCAAGAAGGGGCTGAATAACTAGCATTTTAAAATTATGGTTGGGACCGGAATTTTCAGTTTTGGCAAAATCCCTTTACTGGTGACATCTATCTCAATGTCTGGAATAAATGTCTGTTGTTTTCTATCACACTAAGATGTTTTCCTGGTTATTGGGAACTGAGTGCACTGGTTCTGACAGGGTGACTCCCACACTTGTGTGCTGAGAAAGCAAAGCAGCTTATTTATATACCGCTTCATATCGCACTATGGGATGTCTAAGCAGTTTACAACTGTGAGCTGATTGCCCCCCAACAAGCTGGGTACTCATTTTAGCGACCTCAGAAGGATGCAGGCCTGAGTCGAGCCTCAGCCCTGGCTGGTATTGAACTCGCAACCATGTGGTCTATGAGTGACTGCAGTACAGACTGCAGACTGCAGTACAGGCATTTAACCACTGCGCCACCAAGCCAGGTCTGCGCATGGGACATTGGAGGGATGACCTGGACTGCCAAAAACACCCCCAAATGAGAGAAAAACAAATACCGGTATTAAGGGAAGTCTATTAAAAGTCTACTTTGAAAAAGCCAGCATGGTATAGTCATTTGAACGCTGGACTACAACTCTGGAGACCTGGGTTCAAATCCCTGCTCAGCCATGGAAGCCCACTGGGTGGTCTTGAGCAAGTCACACTCTTTCAAGGGAAGGCTAAGGCAAACCCCTCAGAACAAATCTTGTCAAGAAAACTCTGTTATGGCCTTAGAGTCACCAAATTGGAAATGACTTGAAGGCACAAAACTTTGAAAGGCACAGATGCATATCTTCCAAGTATCCTGATTTGGCGGGGGGAGTCCCGATTATTCTTCTGTCATCCCACTTTTTCCAGGTCCTACTGAAATGTTCTGGTTTCTCTCTCTTTCTCTTCCCACTTTGCTCCTTTGTTCACAGCTGACTTCATTTGCTGCAAAAGTGAGATCAAAATGCAAAAGTCGTTTCCACTCAGTCACACCAGGAAACAAGAAAGAAGAGGAAGGGGCAGAATATTGTCCTTCTCAATCAGCTGAGGCAAAAGTAAACTGCTGCAGCCTCTCCTGGCTTGTGTGATCTTCCTCATTGATAACTTTTGCCACTTTGGCTACACACTGAGATTACTTGGCCACTTGTCTTCCAGTTTACATCTGTGCAATGTTGGAAGACATGCACTTGGAAACAGGGTGCCTTCTATTTAAAAGCTGAATTGTCCCTTCTATTTATACACATGTGCCTTTTTTGCCAGAAGAAGGGTAAGCTGAGGGATTGGAAGGGCCATGGCCTGAGGGCCTCATGTGTAATTTGCCCTAAACTCTGTTTCATTTACCTTTCTAAAATTATTACTTAAGGGTTGTGAGCCACAGTCTTGCAATGTGCCTGACACACAAGAGATCAAACTATGCTTCAAACTATTCCATGTGCATAAGGAGTTTTCAGTGCATTAACTCGATAGGAGGGAGAAATGACAGCAGCATTTTCCCCTTCCCAGTCACCTCCTGCAAAAGTAAACTGCAGCAGCCTGTCTAGTTTTATCTTTCTTGTCTCTCTTGGCTTATCTGTTCTTCCCCATTCATAACTTTTGCCAACTTGACTGCACACTGATATTGCTTAGACACCTGTTTTGCTTTTCATCTGCGAAATGTTGGAGGGTATTACAAAATCTACCTTGCCCTGTAACAGATTGGTTCAATGCTTTCCTTGGGGAGGCAGGTGAGCTACTTACTTCCACCTCCAAAACATCTGGACAAAAAGCAAGAATCGAACATCCCCACTTTCTATTGCCTCATAAAAGCACTGCTGTGTCGAGGGCGTGGTGGCATGTTCATGTAAAGCTGTGGACTTTGCCTCTGATGTGGCTCACAAGGAAAACCACTTTTGGACTCCGGACAGATGCATCTTCATCTTGTCTGGTGAAAAAAGCCCTCACTCTTTTGTGAAGCTCGCAACAGAGGATTACTTCCTGGACGGAGCACACACAGATTCTGGAACAACACGTCAGGGAGGTAAAGTTTGACTTCTTTGGATCCTGCAAGGATTTAGAGAAGGAAAATGGG